CTTTCTTTCTTTCTTTCTCTTTGGAGAATAGCTTGACTCCCTCTTCTCTGGGGCAGCCCCTCAAATATTGGAAGACTGCTATTGTGTCGACCCTAGTCTTTCTCTTTGTTAGATTTCCAATTCCTGCAACCGTTCTTCATATGTTTTACCCTCCAGTCCCCTAAAATCCTCTTAGTTGCTCTTCTCTGCACTCTTTCTAGAGTCTCAACATCTTTTGTTACATCGTGGCAACCCAAACTGGATGCAAATATTCCAGGTGTGGCCTTTCCAAGGCACCAAGAGCAGGTTCTCAGCTCTTGCACAGCTTCGGGGTAGCTGATGTCCCAATGTTGGCACCGTTGCCAAGGAAGGTGTTGATTGCCGAGAAGTCACGTGTCGTGCCCAACTGATCCATCAGGCGCGGTAGGTCTGCCGTCAGAGCTTTGCATGGAGAGATTTTAGCAGGTCCGTCTTCCCCATGTTGGGATCCTCGTGGAAGGGTCATCACAAGGAAGATGGGGTCACCTGATTCTCCAAAGCACCTGAGGGCAGGACAATGTCGTAGGAATATCCCAATAAAGAGGAACACAGACAGACCACAAACCATTGTGGATGTGCTTTGCCTAACGCCAACATGCAGGTTTCTCCGTACCAGCTGCGACCTGCAGCGCCAATTAGCTGTGCCGAAAATCCTGCGATTTTCCTCTTCTGTTTCCTCTCAGCTGATCATCGGCTTTTTTTTACTACCAGTTCGGTTGAACCGGTACAAACTGGTAGCGTACCACCACTTTGTAACCAAGGTGTTATAAAGTGGCACCGAAGAGGCAGATGGTGTCCTCCATCTACGGCTTATGGTCCGTGTTCTGCTCTAACGCCTGCACACCCTTCTCCAGGCTGCAGAAGTGGCACATTTGGTCAGCACATCCAATCCGGTTGATCGTAAACTAGTCCAACAGGTGAAGTTCACGGCTCCCTTGAACCAGGAAGTGAGCGACGCCAAGTTCAACAAACCCCAATCTCTTTGGACAAATTCTGCCCTTGGTCAAAAACCAGTTTAAGCAAACTTATATTTTGATTGTAATTATTTATTTGTTTGTTTCTGCATATGCGAGAAAACAAGTATAAATATGAACATATCCTATAAACAAATGTAAACAATGTAAACTTCCTAACTAATGATAGCCATCCATTTACCTGGAGCCAAGCTGCACTAAAGGCCTCCAGTAAAGTAACACAATGTTGCCAGCCAATCAAGAGCCAAAAAGAGCCAAAAAAACAGACAGGAGATATTAGAAACACCAATCAAGCAGAACACAGCAAACTCCAAGACCAATAAACACAGACCAAGACTCCCAACCAATCAGGGTGAAGAAAAAACCATTCTGGCACAGCAGTAGGCTAGCACCAAATTTAAAACAGAAACGGCTGTGAAAGTCTGACTCACAGACGAACACAATACAGAAGCCTGATGATGGCAGATGAGATTCTGCCAAAATGTCGCTACAACTTTAAAAGCACAACTACAGTGACGTGGGAAAAT